AGAACAGCTCGCAGTTTTTTTGGGGCGCACTCACAATCGGCGGAATCGTTCAAATTCACCTGAGTAGACGGAACCACTCGGCAGTCTGGACTAAACCGACGACGATGCGTGGCTGCCTCACCACTGGACTTCAGAGATTTTAGTGATTTCAGCGCACGCTTCACACGTGCGAGTTGTGTTCAGCCGGCATCGGACCAAAGGACGATGTTTGGCAATTGCATGCCGGTGCGGCCCTGCCGCCCTGCAGCATATTTATTTGAATCAGAAAAGCAGGACTGACACTGACACTGACACGGAAAGGGGTCATGCTAGTTTAGGTTTGTAATTGTCACACACTGACACTGGCAGCCCCCATGAGTCGAAATCGGGGAGATAAACTAATCCGGCCGGCACCCCATTAACGCCAATCAATCAGCCACCGACTGACAGTCAACTGACATTACTGACATTGCCGTTTGCATCAGGAAGGCCCGCCTGGCGACGCCTTGCCACCAGCTGCTGCCGTGGACGAGGCCTGTGCCAGAGTCGGTCGGGGTCATTGCGGCGAGCAGATAGGGTGACAGGGACGAGAGGAAGGCTCGAATGGCAACAGGTGTGACAAGTTTGGCATGTGTCATGTCTTGAGTTTTGAGCTGACGTATTATAATAGGTCTAACGGTACTAACGGTCACGGTCTAACGGTCTAACTTGCAGCAATCAACATTTGATGGCGAGCAATAAGCAACCACAACAATAATCAGCCACTGACTGACAGTCAACTGACATTACTGACATTGCCGTTTGCATCAGGAAGGCCCGCCTGGCGACGCCTTGCCACCAGCTGCTGCCGTGGACGAGGCCTGTGCCAGAGTCGGTCGGGGTCATTGCGGCGAGCAGAGGGTGACAGGGGCGAGAGGAAGGCTCGAATGGCAACAGGTGTGACAAGTTTGGCATGTGTCATGTCTTGAGTTTTGAGCTGACGTATTATGATAGGTCTAACGGTCACGGTCTAACGGTCTAACTTGCAGCAATCAACATTTGATGGCGAGCAGTAAGCAACCACAACAATATCAGCCTTGGACTTCAACTGGATTCGGACCTTTGGTTTATTTGACTCTCACCGTCGCGACCTATTGTCCATCCAAAATCCGAAATGTGAATTAATGTGAATTCCGAAATTTGCTGATTCGAACAAACACAATGGACAGTGTTCCAGTGTAGCCTACGACCTCATGAGAACGGTGAGGGGCCCGGAACGAGGATGCTCACACCGACACCCACCACCCAACAATCTTGTAGCACGCACACCTGCGTTGCATGCGGGCGACCTAGTTGCTGGGTTAAGATTCTAATGCCACACCGCCCGATAGTGATGATACCCTGTTACCCTGCAACGGATTGCGCTGTAACATTGTAAGACATGTTGCATGTTGGCATCATGTTGGCAAACTTTATATACCGACCAGCCGGCCACAACCAATCATAACTTAATCATAACTCTTCCAGAATGTTTGCTACTCCGGACTGAGACTGGGCAACTTTGACCAGGTCCTTTCAAACTCTGCCAGAGCTTATCAGAGCTTTGCCTATTTGGCGAGATATTGGCAAAGATCGCCAAATTGGCGAAGTTCCGGCAAACAAAGTTCTGGCGGCACAACTCGGCACAACTACAATTAGGCACAGAACTTTGTCAATTTCGCGAACGTTGCCACACCGTTGCCAATTCTACCGGAACCTTGCCAATATTGCTGGAACTTTACCACAACCTTGCCGATTCTGCTGGAACTCTGCCAAATTCAGCGAACTTTGCCGGAACTTTGCCAATTTGCCGGAACTTTGCCAATTCTGCCGGAACTTTGCCAATTCTGCCGGAACTTTGCCAATTCTGCCGGAACTTTGCCAATTCTGCCGGAACTTTGCCAATTCTGCCGGAACTTAGCCAATTTGGCAAACTTTGCCAATTCTGCCGGAACTTTGCCAATTCTGCCGGAACTTTGCCAATTCTGCCGGAACTTTGCCAATTCTGCCGGAACTTTGCCAATTTGGCGAACCTTGCCGGAACTTTGCCACTTCGGCAAACTTTGCCGGAAACTTTGCCAATTCTGCTGCAACTTTGCCAATTTGCCGAACTTTGCCAGAACTAGAACATTCCCAAAGCTTTGCCGATGTTGCCAGAACTTTGGCAATCTGTCGGACTTTGCTAGATCTTTGTCATTAACCCCACCCTACCCCCTTTCATGATGCATGTCCAGGCACCGTTCGACCCAGACGCCCCGGCCGGGTCGGCGATGCCACCGCCCCGCGTGGAGCTGCCGACGCCGCTGGCAATGCGGCCCTGCGAGGACGAGGAAGGAATCGTCGACTGGATCGAGTGCCGAGTAGTTACGTTGTTTTTTTGGGCTGGCTGTTTTGTGATTTCGTTGCATAGCCCAGTATACAATAGCACATTGTGACAGCACATTGTGACATGTGTTTTTTGTGCATCATGAAGTGACCACTGAACTGATTGAATTAATGAAGTTCAATGAAGTAATAAGTAGTAATAAGACTATTTTTTGTTTGCAGCGGTTAATGTTGCAGTAACGGCTACGTTCAACAAAGGTAGACAGGTCCCATCTGAAATTATACTCCCGGGTATCGGGTCCCTGTCTAGGCTCAAGTGCGAGCTGACGATCCGGAAGCCAAGTGTCGGCGAACCAGCGCTAGATCGGGCACCGAGATCATTGTCCCCTTTGCAGGTGGCGAACTTCACTACTATCCCCGGCTTAAGTCCATCAGTGCAACATGCCGGTGTCATGCAGGTGACTGCCGCAAGTTTAGATCCACAAAGATGGGTCCTCGATCAAGTGGTCGGCCAGTCGGCTGGTTGACTGCATGGCTTTTGAAGGGTAGATCACTGAAAACCCCAGGTGAACACAGTGTGCAAGGATTCTTTTCTCACGCAGAGCGTGTGGCAGCCCGCAATCAGTTCAAAGCTGTACCGGGTGCATCGGAGATTCTGGCAAACGAGGAGCCCGCCAACGGGGAGGAAGAGCCCTGGTGACTGGTGAAGAAAACACATGTTTTCACGAGTCATGACTCATGACATGACCTAACTTGGTTTGACAATGAATACGAGTCATTTTTGTTGTCATGATGTGGCAGTCGGAACCTGTCTTGCAAACCGATGATGTCGCTAGTCGCTAGAAGGGTTTATTATATTTGATTTGCTATCCAATCCATTCCAGCCCAGGGCCTTTTTTCCATGCTCCTCGTGTGGTTTACCAGGCCTGGATGGGAATAGGTCCCGCGATGCTGGGAGACAAACCGCCCGATGGATCTCGAAGGGACCGCCGGCCAGCTGAAAAACCTGTCATCAGTGTTGATGAAACGATTAACTCTGGCCAACCAATTAACAAGTGATCGCTGGATTGTGGTTGTGATTGGGTGGTGGTGGATTCAGGTTCCCAGCCGACAACACACACACACACTGACGCACTGACACTCATACAGGCACATCCACACATCCCGTAGCGCTTCACATAGGTCCGTTATCGTTTCAGTTTCAGCCTTCTATCATCGAACACGATTGATATTTGGTTGCTTGATGGCGATCGCAAACTCATTCGGAAGTAAACCATTGTACATTGTACATTGTACAGTGTGAGACCTTGCGATTGAATTTCGACACGCCACAATCAACACTATTCCTTGGTTGGTTGGTTTGTGAGTTTGAGATGTCTAGGACAAATGACACCCCGGCCCCAACTGGCCCCAACTCGTGTATTGGCTGCGGCGGCAGTTGCTTGGAATTGCGGCCCAGTGTAGTATGTAGGGGAACTCAATATGAAGTTCCTTGGAACTGCGCTGCAATTGAATTGAAACAGGAACCCATAACCCAGGCTAACCCAGGTTCACTTTGCCGGGGACATCATTTGCAAGGGAACCGCTAGTCCAGGGTCCAGAGTCCAGAGTGTCAACGTTTGATCGTGGAAGAACATGGGATCAGAATCAGATCATGATCATGATCAGTTCTATTCTGATTCTGATTCTGATCATGAATTTTGTTGTGACATTCGATAACGCGATAATGGGGTTAATGGGGTACAATCAAATTCAGCCCTGCCAGCCATCACCTTCGTTTCAGGATATTGATCTTACTCTGAGCCTGAGCCGGGGGATGAACATCGCGAGTATCAAAGCTCAAGGCTCAAGCGCGGAACATATCCATGCTCGAGGCCGACTCGAGGCTCAGCATGGTGATAATCCCACACATGAAACAGTACTAGACTGGACTAGTGAAGCGCATGGCACATGCACAGTCGCACGAACGTGCGTAGGTGTGTCTTTTCAGTAACAACACATGGCCCAATTCCCCGAGCACATCTAGCCACGCTACTGGCCTGGCCGGTGGCTTCGATGTGATTTGCGGCCTGCGAGCTGCGGAGGACAAGCAACTTGCAGGGTGTGCTCGGGTAGGATGTGGCGGGGTGGGAGTGGAAATACACATCAATCAGCAATCATTGAAATTGTAACTGTGACGACTGTGACGAAGGTACATGCTTATACTTTTACCAGCATCCCCCCAATGGCTGGTCAATTGCCGGCACATTGTTTTTGGCCAAAACAATGTCACTGTATGTATGTCTAGTTGGCTGCAATGCAATCACGATTTGATATTATGTATCACTCACGCGTCACGTGTATCTACACGATGTGTGGTGTGGGCACCGCCATAGGGAGAGAGAGACAGGGACAGAGAGAGTACATGTGTTGCTTGCATTGGACTAAACCTGGCATGGTAGGCCTTGTGTGGACTCAAGCTGTGTTGTGATGATTGTGCACGGTGTATGACACACGCCCACATCAATGTTAACAGTTAACATCTTTCAACAGACCCCTGACATCGACATCAACTTTACATCAACTTGACATCAACTGACATCAACATCAACTACTGTCAACAACTGACAACTACACTACTACAGTAGTGAGCTGTGAGCCACTGAGCCAGTTTTGTTTTCCGGTCCCATCCTTCAGCCATGAGTGCAGTCCCACGCTTTGAAGCGCCGCAGTGCATTGCCTTGGAAGCCGTAAACCGGCTTTGGCGGCTTTCAGAATCAGAGCACGCAGTGGAGCTTATAGAGGCAGCATGCATGGAGCTGTGGAGCTCTTCGGCTGGCTACAGCAAGGCGGAACGCAATCGTTTGCACCTGAAGTTTCATTTTGAGCTGGCCGAGGACCTGAACGCGACCGCGTGGGGTGTCTGCAGTCCTGCAACAAGCATGAAACTGCTGGCACCAAAGTTTTGTGCATATGTTGGCTTCAACGATGACACATTGCACCGCTTTATGGAGGTCCTTATCGAACAGAACCACGACAAGCTGCATGCGCTGCCCTGGTACAACATTGTAATCAACTGCAACCACGCTATTGCCTCGCTTATACACTCTGGAGACTTTGTGGCATTGCCCGCGCAAGATAGATGCATCCAGGGCTGGGATGACATTTGGAGACTCCGGGCAATCTTTGTGCAGAAGTTTCGTGAGCGTCGCGATGCAGCATGGCGCCTCTATGAGGATGAGCGATACTGAACAAGCCTGGGCCGACATCGACTTGTGACCGACATGCCAGTGCGGTCTGGTGTCATCCTTGAATCGCATTGATGGATGTGACTGGATGTGAGGATGTGACGATGTGACCAATTTTGTAATTGGCCTTGCCAAACAAACCTGGCAGGCTGCCGGCTCTGGAATTTGAGTTGGCCATTTAGTGGGCCACGACTCAGCCATTGTGAGCAAAATCTTCATCTCTGTCGTTTGTATGGCATGGCGCCTCTATGAGGATGAGCGATACTGAACCAGCCTGGTGTCATCCTTGAATCGCATTGATGGACCAACTGGATGTGAGGATGTGACCAATTTTGTAATAGGCCTTGCCAAACAAACCTGGCAGGCTCTGGAATTTGAGTTGGCCAGCCCATTTAGTGGGCCACGACTCCTTGAGCATTTCAGCTTCAGCCATTGTGAGCAAAATCTTCATCTCTGTCGTTTGTATGCCGGCCGGTGGCCCCCCCACTGGGTACCCTCATGTCAATATCATTTGTATACCGCTTCTGGTAAGCACGATGCGTGTGGTGGCCAATTGCCGGCACATGTACGTCGAACGGGTTGAACGGGTTGAACGGGTTGAACGGTCAACTGTTGCGACACACAAGAAAACACATCAGTTGAATCAGTTGAATGTTGCACTGTCACACTGTGACCTCCCTTTCCCGTTGCATCTCCCGCGCCCACTGACCGCCCCTTCTTTGCCAGGACATTTGCACACTGTGCAACTATGCGACGACCCGCAGCGGCCACGAGACGGCCTTCATCATCCAGTTTGAGAAGAAAGCCATCGGCGTCAGCATCAACGTTGGTGGCATCAACGGCGCCAACTTCCCCAACTGCAGCAGTGGCGGCATCCAATCATGAACCAGGCTCAGGCTTGTCCAACTCTTACCCCATGTCTTAACCAGTTGGCCGGTTCCGTCGGTTGGTTTTGTTTTCTCCTGTGAGCCCCTGTAGAAACCACCTCCGAGCAGCCCGAGCAGACCCATCCCGAGCCGGACCGGTGCGTGGACAATGACCTGGAGGCGAACCCGGTTCCAGAACATGCTGAACCTGAACCCGATGAGGTTTGCGCAGATGCAGACAGGAAGCCAAAGCGAAGGCGCAGCGAGACGAAGAAGAAGGCGACATCAAAGGCATCTACAAAGCAGAAGGCAAAGGCAAAGGCGCGTGGTCAGCATGTGGCACATGTGGAAACATTCTGGTGATATGACTCTGACTCTGATTCAGAAAGGATACCCGATGATGATGATACCGAGATTTGTTCCCTGTGGCCCTGTGACAGTCGCAGTAGTCGTAGTTGATAGTCGATAGTTGATAGTTGATAGTTGATGATGGAAAAGGCTTGGAACTAAACGTTGACATGTGACATGTAATCATGAAGTTGAACATCTAACCGTTCCAGGCCAAGACGGAAGATGGTGTCAACCCGTTCCTCGCTCCGCCCGATGCGGACCAGGCAGACATCACGTCGGTGTTGGGCGAGGGCGACCCCAAGAAGTGGCAGAAGGCACTTGGGCCGCCACCTGCGTCTGGCGAGCAGGAAGGCGGTGATGGTACAAAGGTATCAAATGCGACAGAGGCGACCTCAGACTCTTCCAGCAGCAGCGCGAGTTCACGCTCTTTTCCTGACTTGGACCTGCAGAGCGACGACGCTGAGATGTGTGACGCTGACGCTGGTGAGCATTCGTTGATCAGGGTGCCCGAAGCAACACGCACACGGCAGGACGTGTTTGCCTTTCCGCTGAGGCACATCCGTCGTATAGAACGGCATTTTGGCAGGGAGGCACTTCATACACTGTCAGAACGTATGAGTTCGATGACAATGGTAAGCCTGTACTCTGGTCTAGGTGGAGCAGAGATATCGGCGGCAATGGTATGCAACGCACTGGTCAAACATGGTATTGAGGTGCGGCATCCAACCTTCTTGCTTGCCGGCGAAATGAACCCTGACTGTCAGAAGGTGCTTCAAAGTCATCAGGCTGGCTGAGTCGCTAAATGCTGACAGGCTGTCGGCGTGTGACGTGTGATGCAGTTTTCATGCTAATACAGGGTACTTGATGTGTGTTGGTAGGTGGCCCGGCGCATGTAAACACATGTATGTTGATGCATTGAACACCCGGTGCCTAAGGGACCTAGACAGATTAATCTCCGAGCCACCAAAGGCCCCTCCCCCCACCCACCCAGAGTACGTGCTGGTTTGGTGTTGCAGTCGTATGTCCAACTTGGTATCCAAACTTCAATCGATAGTTGATTGACATTGATATGTGTTGCGCCTGAAGGATCCACCACAATACTTGGCTGCCAACCTGGAGGATTTCCTAGTTGAGGGAGCTGTGGAGGCGATAAAGGGCCAGCTGAATGATGCGCAGGAATCCATGCAGCAAGAGATCCAGCAGATTCTGCAAGCATGCCGGCCGCCAGCCAAGGGCAAGGCTAGAGCTGCAGATGCAAATGCTGCTACCGCCATCCCCACAGCCGCTGCCAAGGCGGCCGCGGCGAAGGAGGTGAAACGACTGCGGGTGGCGCGCTCGCAGAAAATGGTGCTTTCGCTGGTGGACTATGTGGAGTCACACAAGCTCCTGAAGGAGGGAGTGTTTCTGATGAACATGGGCGCAATGGGGCCAAGAGTGGCACCACATCCTCATATATGCGTATGTTTGCAGTCTTTACTATTTGCGTTTGGAATTTGTAATTGAATTGAATGATTGTATGCATGTGTTGTATGTCTTGTGTTACTGCAATGGTGTCACAGCAAGCAACTAGTGACAACCTGTTAACGTTGGGTCGGTTGGGGTGCAGGCTGCCTCCATACATGTTTGATGGGTGGTCCGGTCCGGTCCAGTGAGGAGTCCAGTGGCCAGTCTAACCCTCAGCTAGTCATCTAAGGTCTCGATGGAGGAGATGGCCGTCGCACCCTTCCTCACTCTGGTTGCTGGATCGACGTGCAAGGACTGGAGTAGCATGGGCAGCCAGAAAGGCTTTTTTGGCCCTTCGACGATTGCATTTATCATCATGGCATGCCTGGTCCGGCGGGTGCGACCTGCGGTGTTTCTACATGAATGTACAAGGACCTTTAAGTGGCAAATCTTTCAATCTGATGAAGGTGGGGCTGGCTTGCATGGGCTGGTGTGTGGGACTGGGACACCGGACTGACATACATCATAATATTTATGACACATGTGACACATGTCATCATGTCATCATGTCAGACACGTCACGTTTCCCTATTCTTGCCTGGGGTGTGGGGTGTGGGGCGTGGGGCCTGGTGCCCTGTCCCGCGGTGCGACCCTGAAGGTGAAAGCAAGATCGAGCTGTTTCCGGGGTACAACATCCATCACACTCTGACCAGACCAACAGACTACGGGATGCCGGTGCAGCGAACGAGGTCCTACAGCTGTTTGGTCCGACCGGACTGGGAACTATCCCGTGGTTTGGGCGACATCATTCGGCTGTTCATCCCAACGGAAGCCGATGCCGGTGTGTTCTTTGGAGCACCCGACGACGAGGCAGGGATTCGATGAGAGGACAACCAAGCACCAGATCGCATCCCTTGAAAATCCCTTGTGGCATTATTGCGGCACAATAACTAGACAACTTGGCTACCACTTGGGACCACTTGACCTGGTTCAATCCGATTCAAGTTATAAGCCTGTAGGCCTTAAGCCGCAAGTTGGTCAGTGAAGGGGGTCTATATCAGCTCCTACAAGTCTAACTACACACCCACACTAACCACTGAAGTGTTGGTTGACCCGGCGACCCACAGACAGACAAACAGTGGCTCATCCCTGGCCGTGCCCTGCCTGAAGGTGCACGCTCTCCGGGCCCACATGGCGGACAATGTGTCCTGGCATGGATTCCGGAGTTTGTTTGGCCAAACACATTAGCCAGCCACTGATGGTCTATTTCCTATTGTGGCAGCCCAGTCCCCATGTATCATGGTGAGCTCGTCATACCCCCAGCTGAGCTCGCTACAAAATTAGGCATGATGATTGCAATGTCGAGTCACACATGGCAATGGTCTTTGCTGAGCTGTGTACACATGCCCAACAGCTTACGTCGCAGCTTAACACTATAGCCATGACTCAACTGCAGCATGCGTGCAAGACCGAGCAGTAACGGGACCATCATGCCAAATCCGGTCTAATCGACAAATCGACCCATCGATTCGGTGAAGTACAATAGTAATTGTAATTGCAAATTGTAAATTGTAATACTGAATTTGTCATTGGAGTTGAGTCATAGTCGAGTCATCGACAATAATAATTGCCACAATGGTCAATGGTCATGGTCCTTGAGTCCTTGCTTTACTTTTGCAAGTTACACGAGTGAATGGGTGTGACCCCCCACAACCGAAGGTCCCAATGTATATGTGTGACCCGTGGACCCGTGGCTCCTTGGCTCATGACAACCACCATACGATACGATCGGTAGACGTTGTACGTTGAACTACTTGTTTATGAAATATTGTTAATAGGCAGTGGGCAGTAATACGCACTCGACTCGACTCAACAATACTACGACATTGACCCGTTCAGATTGTGTCGGACAGTGAAGCAAACTCGCAAGGCCAAGAAGTCACCAAAGTGCAGCTGGCCAGACCTTCTACCAGTTGCTGCCCGAATCAACCTCCAGAACGCCTTGAAGAAACCGGACATCCTCAAAATCATCCCAACCCGAGAGGTAGCCATCAATCTTGACCAGGATATCAACATCCAGGACTCCACTCCAGCCCACAACACATGCATTTGTTTGAGCGTCGTCCCCTTTCCGGAATCCACAAGGATGATTCATACTATTAATCATGCTGCTTCGGCTGGGGCTAAGACTAACGGACAACATGTGTTGATATAGATACACCTTTGGGCGTCCCTGACAACCACCCTGCCCCACAAAGGACCACTGGGGGGCATGCGCCCCTGTGGTTCTTGCGAGCATCAGCAACATGTACGGCCTCCTCAGAGGAAGACCATACACCTCCA